TTTTTCAAAATGACCACCAGATGGTAGCATCATACCAACCACGGAGGGCCAGGTCTCTGCCGGGACTCTTCCTAACTAAACGACTGTGTCAATAGTAAAAGCACCTGAGTTGCAAAATGGTCGAGTTCAGAGCATCTCAAGAAGCAAAAAGAATAAGGAGTTGTAATGTAAATTGGAAGGAGATTAACAGAAAGGCGATATGCAGGGACGGGAAGTATGCAGAAGCCATACAGAACAAGGTAATTTTTAACCTTAGATTTTTGGGGTTAACCAATCATATCAATTGATTTTACATTGCCTATTTAATTGCCTAGTGACTAACTCATTGTTTTTCCAAGGTAGAAAGTTCTGTGACAGCTCAGCCGTGAGGCTGGGTCCCATGTCTTAGAACTAGTATGGACTTAACAGATGAGGCCTCAGGAGGGGGTAGAGATGAGCAGCGGCTGCTTTGCCCAATAGGAAGCAGTGAGGAGTGTTTGGACTGTAGTGGTTATCACAAAGGAATTTAAAAATTTTAATTTCAAATGCTTCAGAACACCTTTATGCTTCTGTCTTCAGGTCCCCTCGTACAAGAACTCAAAATGGAGTCACCTGCCATTAGAAGATGCAATACCTTCTAGAGCAGTGGTTCTCAGCCTGTGGGTCTCGACACTTTGGGGATCAGGTGACCCTTTCATAGGGTTCGCCTAAGACCATCGGAAAATTCAGATATTTACATTACAATTCATAACAGTAGCAACAAGAATAATTTTATGGTTGCCGGTCTCCACATGAGGAATTGTGTTCAGGGGTCTCAGCGTCAGGATGGTTGAGGACCACTGTTCTGGAGGCTGCAGTAGAGCTATCGTGCAGCTAGTTTATGCATTCTGCTGGTAGGGGATTACTCCTATGTGTCAGGCAATCACAACTTTAGAAAGTGCTCTGTAGTAGAGACCCGGATCTGCAGGACTGTGTGTGTGAGTGCCTCTGAAGACAGCTTTAGAGGCTTTTCTCCTCACCTTCAGGGCTCCTTAAGTCCACCCTCACAGGACAGGGTTTCCAGGCCATCTGTCCCTTGTATTTTTGAATAAGCTCATAGCACAATTTGCTCAAAGGCCAAACCCCCAAATCTAGCTCGGAACAAGGGAGAGTGGTTCTTTGTTCAGCTTCACACACAGGCCAGTCAGAAATGTGTCCTCAGTATTAGGTTATTCTAAGATCTATCCTGGTTTTGAAAACTAAATGAATGTCTCTGCTTGCATCCTTATGAGATTTGTTTTGGCTCCTGGGAGATGGTGGTTAGAGGTTCAGTCTTTCATGGATAATTTGACTTCCATTTTGAAATCTATCCGTGTCATCTAGGGCTTTCCCAACACTCGTGCTGCGAGTCAAGTTCTTGTTAAAATGGTGAAAAGAACAGGGCATAGAGGCAGAGCCACGGACGTTCCCGGGGACCCCTTCATTCCTAAGAAACATGTACTGTGACCCCTCGGGTCTTACGTTGCCCTAGATAACTTACAGTGTCAGCAAAGAGCCTGCTCTCATGAGATCCTCTGCCTTGGCTTTTTTTTTCCTGGAACTGAAAAAAAGATGGCCTGTTAAAGGGTCTGGAAGAACCTTTCTGAGTTAGTGCTTCCATCCATGGCAGAAGCTCGCGGTATGGAGTTTCCCCTGCAGAGGACTTCTACTGTACATCTGAGCGCCTGCATTAGCGCGTGCTCAGCTGATGCTCTCTAAGCTCTAGAAGCTTAAGATTTCCCTCTCCTTTCCTCTCTTATAGCTCAACATTCAACAGTTTCTTCTTCATCCTTTAGTCAGAATAGGTACATTTCTTAGTCACTGGAAAAATATTTCTCTGAAACGAACTTGTTTGGTTTGATAGCATTAAGTATCAATTAATTCATATTATAACATCCTTACACAGCGGTAAAGATTCCTTAGAATATGAAAAAAACTTACATAATCTGGTCACGTGAGGAGATAATTTAAGAATTTCCAAGTGCTCTAGCTCAGTGTTTTCCCTGAGCGCATGTGCACACGTATGTGTTATAGGGTAGTAATTTCTGAAGTGTGTGTGTGTGTGTGTGTGTATGTGTGTGTAAGTGCTTACATTTTCTCTGAATAGAATTCCTTCTTTCATGTTCTTCAGAAGCCTGGGAATACAACTTTTAGTTTTTTAAACTATTACTTGCAATATTTTGTTATTTATTATGTGGATTATTCTTGAATTAATGACATTTTAAAAGTTTACTATTTAGCCCAACTACAAACCCTGTAAGTTACAATAGTAGCCCGCCTTCAAGATATACCCAGTGGTAAAATAGTAGCACAGATTTCAGGGAAGTAACCAACAACTCTTTTTAAAAAGATTTAGGCTCACTCCATGAAATGGAACCCATACCTCATACTGCTAAGGAGGTCAAGAACTTGAGACTAGGTATTCGTGGGTGCTAGGCGAAAGTCAACTATTGTACTTCTAAATGAACAGAAATAAAATAACTCCTAATAACATATTGTTGTATCCATAGATAAGTGCATTGCTTATCCCTCATCAGAGAAGCTTTTTCTTGCACTAGATGGTAATTAATAGCCACAACTGGACAATGTGAAGGGTGAGAGACTTTGAAAGCTCAGTCTTAAATGGTACATTTGCATCAAATTCTACCATTCGAGGTTCAGGGATCGATGAGAAAGAGCAGAAAGAAAGATTATAAGAGCCAGAGTGGAGGACAACTCCAAAGACAGCATTTTCTAGACAAAAACTCATAGAGACTGTAACAGTATGTACAAGACTTACACAAGTTGAAACCAGACAAAACTCCAGCACTGAGAAGCAGAGGTGGGCACAAATATCTCTAACCAAGAAATTATTTGCAAGAGATGGCTGCTGAGAGAGGGCAAGTCAGTTTTCCATGGAGTGACATTGAGTGTACCAACTACACTTCAGGGAAGTGCTCATGCTCACTATTTGGTCAATACATAGTGGACTCCATGCTTTCTGTTTGTTTTGTATTTTTTGTCTGTTTAACTTGGTTTGGTTTTAGACTTTCTGTTTTATTTTAAGAGATAAAAAGAATGGAATTTCTGGGTCTTGTGGTAAGATGATTTCCATTTTCTCGAAGAATCTCCATACTGATTTCCAAAGTCATTGTACTAGTTGGCACTCCTACCAGCAGGGGAGGAGTGTTCCCCCTTCTCCACATCCCCTCCAGCATAAGCTGTCATTGGTGTTTTTGATTTTAGCCATTCTGACAGGAATAAGATGGTATCTCAGAGTTTTTTTTATTTGCGTTTCCCTGATGGCTAGGGATATTGAACACTTTCTTAAGAGCCTCTCAGCCATTTCAGACTCCTCTGTTAAGAATTCTCTATTTAGTTCTGTAGCCCACTTTTTAATTGGATCCTTTGGTGTTTTGGAGACGTGCTACTTGAGTTCTTTGTAAATTTTAGAGATCAGCCCTCTGTCAGATGTTGGGTTAGTGAACATCTTTTCCTATTCTGTGGGTTTCCTTTTTGTCTTGCTGACTGTGTCCTTTGTCTTACAGAAGTTTCTCAGTTTCAGGAGGTCACATGTATTGATCTCAGTGTCTGTGATACTGGTGTTATGTTCAGGAAGCATTCTCCTATACCAATTCGTTCAAGGGTCCCTCCCACTTTCTCTTCTAAGAAGTTTAGTGTGGCTGGATTTATGTTTAGGTCTTTGATCCATTTGGACTTAAGTTTTGTGCATGGGATAGACATGGATCTATCTGCAGTCTTCTACATGCCAGCATCCAGTTATGCCAACACCATTTGCTGAAGATCCTTTATTTATTCCATTGTATATTTTTAGATTCTTTGTTGAAGATTAGATGTTCATACATGTATGGGTTAATATTGGGTTGTTCAATTCAATTCAGACTACCACAAGACCAAGCAATTCCACTCTTAGGCATATACCCAAGAGATGCATAGTCACACAAGGACATCTGTTACACTATATTCATAGCAGCATTATTTGTAATAGCCAGAACCTGGAAGCAACCTAGATGCCCCTCAACTGAAGAGTGGATAGAGAAAATGTGGTGCATTACACAATGGAGTACTAGTCAGCAGAAAAAAAAACAATGGAATCTTGAAATTTGCAGGCAAATGGATGGCACTAGAAGAAACCATACTGAGTGAGGAAACCCAGTCACAAAAATATAAACATGTTATGTACTCACTCATATATGGATTTTAGACATGAATCAGGGGTTCCAGTCTACAATCCCACTGCCAGAGAGTCTGGGAAAAAGAAAACCTTTAACTAATGATTGATGGGAGCAGAGGCAAACACCCACAGCTAAACACTGAGCTGAACTCAAGAAACCCAGTGACAGAGAGGGAGGACTGATGAGCATAGGGGTCAAGACTGGGTTTGTTTAATCCACAAAAACAGCTGACTTGAACAAGGAGAGCTCTTGAATCCCAGACTGATGTCTGGAAATCCAGTATGGGACTGATCAAGACCCCCTGAATGTGGGTGTCAGTGAGGAGGCCTAGGCAATCTATGGGGCCTTGGGTAGTAGATCAGTATTTATCCCTGGCATACAAATGGACTTTGGGTGCCCATCACACAATGAGGGATGCTCTCTCAGCTTGGACTCCTGCGGGAGAGCCAAGGCCCTTCCCTGGATGAAATGACAGACTATGGACACCCACCATGTCGGGCCTTACCCTTTCTGGAGAAAGGAGTGGGGATTTGGGGAGAGGGGATGGGGATTTGTGGGAAGGAGTGGGAGGAGGGGAGATACAGGGAGAGGGAGAAGGATCTGGGATTGACATGTGAAGCAACCTTGTTTCTAATTTAAATTTAAAAATAAAAAAGACAAAAAAAGAGATAGAAGGAGTATGAAGTTGAGTGGGTAGGGAGGGGAAGGAAGATACGGGAGGAGTTAGGGAAGGAGAAAGAATATTATCAAGCTGTATTGTATGAAAAGTCGCTTAATAATAATATTCTCTGATAATAAGATTGATGACTACCTTATTTGCCATCCTAGAGCCTTCATCCAGTAGCTGATGGAAGCAGACGCAGACACCCACAGGTAAACACTGAACTGAACTCCTGGAATCCAGTTGCAGAGAGGGAGGAATGATGAGCAAAGGGGTCAAGACCAGACTGGAGAGACCTACAGAAATAGTTGACCTGAACAAGGAGGAGCTAATGGACCCCATTCTGATAGCTGAGAAACCAGCATAGGACTTTTCCAGACCCCCTGAATGTGGATATCAGTTTGGAGGTTTGGGTAATCTATGGGGCCCAGTTGATCAGTATATACCCCTACTACACAAATGGACTTTGGGAGCCCACTCCACATATAGGGATACTCTTCCAGCCTAGAAACACGGGAGAGGGCCTAGGCCCTGCTCTAAATTATATGACAGACTTTGAAGATCCCCCATAGGAGCCCTCATCCTCCTTGTAGAGCAGAAAGGGGATGGAATAGGGAGTCAGTGGGGGGCAGGGGAGGAGGAGAGAGAGAGGGAACTGGGATTGATGTGTAAAAATTTTTTAATCTGTTAAATATTTATTTAATTTATTTTTTCAAGACATTGTTTCTCTGTGTGGCACTGGGTAACTCTGTAGTCCCAGCTGGCCTTGAATTTACAGAGATATACCAGTGTCTGCCTCTTGAGAGCTGGGATTAAAGGTGTGTGCCACTACCACTGCCCAGCAAATATTTATGTTATTAACTCTCATTCTCTTTAAGAATTAAGTTGAGCATGTGCCTCTCATCTGAAGTTTGTCCTTATTAAACAAATTTCTGTACATGCTTTTTAAAAGTACACTGTTTAATTGTCTCTTTTTACTTGAATTATCATACTTTTGCCCATTTAGTTAGCTCTTCACTTTTCTTTTCTTCCTTATCTTAAGTGTGCACCAAGCTTTAATGAACTCGGTTTCTTCATCAGGCATATTTACTCCTTCTGTCATGGTTATTTTGCGGTGTATTTGGTCCTGTTGCTTTTGATTTTATGTTATGTACTTTTGCGACTGTGGAGGACACAGCAAAATTATGTTGTATTGTATGAGAATCCACCCCTTCTGTTCTGAAAAATCAACACAATGTCTATTACTATCTCACCCTGAAAACCTTCAATTTTATCTGAAAATAAGCACCACTCTTAGTTCAGGACAGTTTTTCTGTTGAGATGGAATTCAGTGTGGGGTCTCTGTCACCTGAGCCTTACTGGTGACTCTCACTCAAGTATGATATACAGGATGCAAGTTTTACTTAATGTCATCCCACTAGTGTGTTTAAATGCTGACCACACTTTCATGCTGAAGAACTGGTTTATTCTACATTCATTTGCTGAGTGTGTGAGGGGCGGGCCACAGTGTATGGGCATCAGTTCTTTCATTCTACCACGTGGGTTCTGAGGATCAAACTCAGCTCAGCATATTTGGCCGCAAGTGCCTTTCTTCGTTGATCCATCTTGCTGGCCCACTAGGACAGCTTTTGAGCCACATCACAAACAGCTTTCCTGGAGACTTAAGGAAGATTAAGGAGATGTGAAGCACTCTCCATACCGTCTGGCACTCTGTATTTGGCTACATTATCCTTTTCAATGTTTGCTCTTTTGCCAACTGCAGTATATTTTATTTGATTGCATTTTTCTTTTGGTAATTCAGAAGACATACAGTATGTTATTAATTTTAATTATTGGTACTAAAAGATTCAAATGTATTTCAGATACAATTATTGACATTGGACATAAAACAATTGAAAGCATTGGCTCAACGCTATTCAGTTTTCATTGACAATTTCCCTCAGATATTCAGCTTCCTACGGTATGTTCTACAGTTTTCTACATAGTCACTGTTACTCTTGGTATTTTCTCTCTAGAGAATAGGGACTTCCACCTGTGTGATGTTTGTAGAGCTGGAAGCCTTCAGATGCTGCCTTGTCCATTCTCTCACTCAGGTTGCTCTTTTTCAGTGGAATGTGGACATTTCTTTGTCAGAAGCTATGGGTGCTCTGCCTCCTGAGCGTTTGTTTATATGAACTACTGCATCGCATGCCAACCTGGAAGTCCACAGATTCCTTGAGTCATGAAATGTCTACTTTAAAACACAACTAGCACAGCTCTGCATACCATGTTATCTGAGGTGTAAGGCTTGCTGATAGATGACTGAGCAAGAAAAGCCTTCTTCATTGAGGCCATGAATGGGCTATTCTGTATTAAAATACTTTGTATATGCTGCTTTCTCTGGCACCTCTTCATGTTGTTTTCTTTTTTAAAATGTCATGGCCACACTCCTTGAAACCTGTTTTTTTTTAAAAAGGACTCTTCAAAGTAACTCATGCCAAGTAATGACCCAGTGACATTTGTCTGCTCTCCCTTCTCCCACAAGACATGCCTCTGCTCAGAGGGAGATCAAGAGGCCTTAATGGAATGGGATAATCCAGGAACAGTTGGCCACATAGGACCTTGAAATAAAATAAGTTGGAATTTTAGTGTAGATAAATATTCTGAAAATAGAATAGTAAATGAATTTGTTCTTCAAACAGTACCCTCTTTGTCTACACAGACAATTTTTCATTAGCCATCCTGAGATAAAAACAAAGAGGGCAGATCCAATTTTGAGAAGTAAGTCTGATTCATTGTTTGGAAGGAATGTGATGTAGTGATAAATTTTAATTTAGTTCTGGGTTTATCCCATATTTCAAAACAGAGGAATAAGAGTTCCCAGGATTAAATGAGTGGTGAATTAAAAGTGAATTAAAATCCCAACTAACTTGATACCATGAAAGATCAAAATTTCCTATTAGCTCACATAGTATTATTAGCTGCAATTTTAATTTCTGTGTTGACTCACCTACCCAATTCCCACTGGCCAATACTCCATGTTTTATTCTTGTGAAGCAAACTGGGAGATACTGCTGTTCAAGTTAACTAGCTGATTGGCAAGTTATTACTCAATAGTAAGAAGAACTATTCCTTTTGCATGGCAATCCATTTCATCAAAAGCAAATATCCACGATAGGAAGGAGAGAAAAAATGTTACAAGGCTAAAGAACTTGAAGGCTGTGGTTCTGCTGCTTATTTGGCATGTATGGGCCCTAAGTTTGGGTCCCAGCACCACATAAATGAATAAATAAAGACATAGAGTTTATAATCTCTTCTCTAGCTGCTTTCTAAAGGACAACTATGAACTCGTGGGTGAGTGGGAGACAGAGGGCTTCCTAAAGAGGCCAGCTGTGCTTAGTTATTCTGTAATCACCCTTCTCTCCCCAATGTCACCATCCACTCCTGTAATTTTCTGCCCTGGTTTTGCCCTAGGCTTTGCCTGGTGTTCAGTCAATGGGAGATGCCCATGGAAGTAGAAGCTTGATGGACAGGAGGAAGAGTCTACACTGTATATTCATTGTTCCTCTTCCACAGTATCTTTGAAAAATGCTGTGTATTCATGTAAGGATCACCTGTGGATTTCTCTTCAAAGGCCCTTTACAGTCTTCTGCTGGTGTTGCAGACATAAGGGTGGCAGTGGCTTTGTGATCTCACGAACCTTCAGATACCCCCATTTAAGCAACCAGAAAATCTAGAATTGTAGAATAGTCTATCTTTCTTCCATAATTCAAACTAAATCAAGAAGCTTAGAGGAAAGATGGACAGATGAGTGGGACATTGCCTTATGTACCTGAATATGTAATCCTCTTATCTCTAGCTTACTTGCCTATTTAAATTTTTATAATTCTCAAAATGATGACTTTGGTGTTATCTTTTTTTTATATTACTGATACTCTTAGTCACTTTAAGTTCAGATAAAATATATTTGAATATTATTGGTTATTTATGGAACAATCACCACTTGTTGATTGGTTACTATGCAGGACCTGGGTGAACAGTGAAGAGAGATGAAAGTGACGCCATTGGGGAGCTCACCCAGCATAGAAGCTACAAGTCTAAGATAAGATATATAGCAACAGAAACTATTGTGATTGCCTCTTTTTTTTAAACTGTGATTTTATAGTCATAAAGAGTGGCCTCAGAATACTTTTCCCAGCATATATCTTTTAGAGACTTATAATTCACAAGGAATATCTCCTGAGGATTGGAATTAAGATCACTTAGTAATACAACCAGATGACCAGTCCTGCTCCAGAAGACTTTCACTTTGGTTCATCCTATAAGCATGCAACAATGGCATGCTTATTGTGCTTCCATCATGTGCTTATGGGGATATCCAGTGTGGTGGAAGGCTGTGCTTCTGTCCTTCACATGTTCCAGAGCAGTGCTCCAAAGTGAACTCTAAGGATGCTTATTACCAATTATCCTGATTGGCATTTTTGTCAACTTGACACAAGATAGTGTCAAATGGGAAGAGGGACCTCATGTGAGAAAATGTCCACATCAGATTAGGCAGTGGTTCATTTTCTTGATTGATGATTATTGTGGGGGTGCCCAGCCCACTGTGGGTGGTGCCACACCTTGAGCAACTGGGCCTGGGGATTATGAGAAAGCAGATTAAAGTAAGCCACAAGCAGTAAGCCATTCAGCAGCACCACGCTATGGCTTTTGCATTGGATTCTGCCTCCAGATTTCTGCCTTGAGTTCCTGCTTCAACTTGTCTCAGTGAGAGAGTACAACCTGAGAGATGTCAGATGAAATAAACCCTTTTCTCCCTAAGTTGCTTTTGATAGTGTGTATTATTAAAGCAACAGAAACCCTGAGTGAGACACCAAGTAAAACTGTGGTATAAGAATCTTAACCTGTGTCCTGTTGGCACTAACTTTTTACACCAGGGTTTCAGTGACTTGAAGAAAATAGAGAAAATAGAGTTCCAAATGGTGAAAAATGTTCAGAAGAGAAAACATGAATAACTGCTATAGAAACACACACACACACACACACACACACACACACACACACACACACACACACACACACACACTGCGTTCCCCGCTGTGACATTCGTAGTATCAAGAGAAGCACAATTTAGGAAGGACAGTCGGTCACCAGCCTGGGAAGAACACAGCCTGAAGAAAGCATATTAGAGAATTGTATCTAGTAGAATCTGCCCAGCTAGGACAACCCCTAACGGCAAAATTCTTTTCATTGCTCCCTTATAACTGTAATTTTGCTACTGTTATGAATCATAAGGCAAATATCTGATATGCGGGATATCTAAAGTGAGACCTCTGTGAAAGGGTCATGTGATCCCCACCTACAGGTTGAGAGCTGCTGATGTACATACAGTGTGATTGGAACCTAGAGTGCACAGGAACCACTAATGGAAAGCCTCTAAGTTCAGATAAGCAATGTGAGTATCTTTAGCTTCATAAAGCGCATTGTGCTGAGATGAATAATGCTCTGATCTGTTCTGGAATTTGTGCTTGCCCAAGGAGAACTAGAAGAAGTGAACACTGTAGCAGATTTTGGATTGAATTGCTTTTTATTTCTTGGCAGAACATGTTTTTGCCAACTTTGCAACCCACTTGAACTTCTGTCTGTTCTTTGATTTTAGAATCAAGTTGGTTTCTTCGTAACACTGGAAAAAATTGTAGATTTAGACCTAGTTTTAAAAACAAGTCCTAAAGTTTCCTACAGGTTTTTATCATTATCAAGGATCTATAAATAAAATGTCTTCTTAGCATCTACTGTAGTTGAATCTGAAATAGCGGTTTTAATTTCAGGTGAGATTCTGAAAAGGTCTTAAAAGTTGCATTTAGTCCAAGTACTGACTCTTTACTCAGGCCTGCAGACGACTGACAGGTAAGCAAGTACTGGCAGAACTTGGTACTTCTGCAAGTACTGGTAGAACTTGGTACCTCTGCCTTCATTGTATGTCTCCTCCACTTAAGCTTTGGGTAAGATGCCAAAGTATTATCTCAAGCGTGTGAAATAGCAGATATCCACCTTCCACTGCTAACCCACTTTTTTCAAGGCTGGAAATACCAAACAATTATAATATTTTCAAGATTTACAGGGACATTATAATCTATAGATGGCCAACTGACAGCTTGTATAGTATTGTTACTGATCCCTGGAGTGGCACCTTAAAAGTTCTGCCCTCCATTTTCTAGGGATATTAGACGCTTCCAGATAGATCACTCCATAGGAACATGGTTGCCCTCTTTTGGGGATCACAGGCCTGATAGGCAAATGCCCTGCAAAGCACTTTGCCTTCTGGAGTAACCTCTGTAACAGTTCGGTTTCCTAGGTGCCTGCACCAAATGTAGATTCTTCTAAGCATTAGGGAACAATGGCAATGTCCTGACACCCAGAAGGTGGTGGGGGAGAACTAAGGTAGTGGCCAAGTCAACCTTGGTTTGGTTATTCCGACTTCTTGACATCTTCCTGATTCTTCTCTGATTTAAAGGCAAAGCATGTATCAGTTTTCCCCCAAGAAAGGCTGAGAGACTTAAAATTTCCCCTGCCTTCCCCATGTATTACACTGAAAATGAAGTTTGTCTCTTTCTCCACTATTTTTTCTGGAGTGAGTGACAGGGCTTGACATGTTGGGGTCTTAGATCTGTGCCCTAGGAATTCAGAACAAGAGTTTTACTTCTATAAAATAACTTTATAAAGGAAATATGTTTAAAGGCATTTTAAGAAAAGCTTGCTTCAATTTTTAACTTGAAAAAGAAACATGTTTCATCTATGGACCTCTGAGTATTTGACACACACATCCCAACACAGAGGTAAATATTGTCCAAAAAGGCAAAATGCTGTGGTGTGGTGGAGTTGCCAGCCAGCCAGAATCACAGATAGTCTACACAGACTACGGGAATGTTGTGCTTATTCTTAGCACCTGCATTGCAACCCCAGTAAAGAGGGGACTTTCAAGAATCTGCTTTAGGTCTTTATCTCAAAGTCTTTTCCATCAAGTCCAGCTTTTCTAAAGAGAAGGGGCCTATGGGACCATTTGTATTACACCACAGACAAGCAAAGAAATAGTCTCACCCAAAGATGTGTGGAACAGGGGTGTTAAAAGTTGGCCATACCCACATGTTCAGATTCCTTCCCCAATACCCATTCAAATGATGCTGCTTGTCCTGTGGTATTTAACATGCAAGTCTTGAGTTTGTGTGTCATGGGTCAGTTATAAAATGCTAGATACTGAGAAGCTCACTCACGTCAATCACCTCTGCTAAATCCATCACTGAATAATTTGGGATTATTTCCATTCTAATGGTAGCAGTGTTCTATACCTACTGAGACTAAGGGAAAGATCACAGGATCTCCCTTCTTTAGGTGGAGTTAGCACAGAATCTCCCTCTCCAGGTGGAATGAGAAGAGGATGTCACTCACCAGGCTGTTCTTCCTAAAAAGATTCCAACGTTTTAAGAACTAAGTATGTTGATGAACAGATTACATGGGGAGGGGGGTCTCACTACCACATGGAAGTCCCTCTCTAGGGGGCTCCCCATGGCTGTTTATAGCCTTATATGTTACCAAGAAGCAGTTTGTAAAAAAAATGAAAGATAGTCCTCAGGCTGATTCCTGCTTTGCTCACAGAGGGGATCACAGAACAGGTCATTGAAAGCTACTCACTAAGGCATCTTGGGATCTTTCTCTGGCTGGTTTAACTAGAGAATTGACTAGAGAATCAATAAGATGCACCAATAATGAAACAGTTGGCCCTTTGTTGGTGGATGAAATGGCATGCTGGTGAGTGAGTTACTGTCTTCTCTTTCTGATGTATTTCACAATCCTCACTCTTTTTCCTGATGAAGCTTCTTAATGAATCACTCTGAGATCAATCTCTATCTGAGATTTATTTGAGAAACACAATCTATGGCTAGTGGTACAGGTACTTTGAAATGGATGCTAGGATATAAGTATTTATAAATACAATTATTAAAAATACTAGGCACCAACATGTAAATGCTAATTACTACTCCATTAGGAATAACCTACATTAGTAATAATTTACATTAAGAAAACAAGAAAAGGAAGCCGGGCGTTGGTGGCTCACACCTTTAATCCCAGAACTCGGGAGGCAGAGGCAGGCGGATTTCTGTGAGTTTGAGGCCAGCCTGGTCTACAGATCGAGTTTCAGGATAGCCTCCAAAGCCACAGAGAAACCCTGTCTTGAAAAACCAAAAACAAAAAAAAGAGAAAAAACAAGAATAGGAATAATTAAGAGTCATTATCAAGTTAAGATAATGTTAGCACTATATTAATAACAAACTGTTAAGTCCTCCAAATAGAAGCAAAGCCAAATATTTGTATCTGTAAGTAAAGTTGGATTCTCACATTATTATCACAAACTGTGTAGCAATCAGGTACTTCACAAAAAACTGAGACTTTTCAATAAAGTCCAGCACACTATTTCTGCTGTCCACACCTGATCAGCAATTGCTACTAACAATGGTTTTTTTCCTATGTAAAAATGAAAGTCTGTAGAATTATATATACTTTGCCGTTATGAATTAAGTATTTCCATTTTAAGTGACTTTTTAATTCACTCTGCTTTTCAGACATTTTTAAAAATTGTATGCTAATAATCATTGAAGATGGCATAATATCTTTGTTAAAAATAATGGCATGGGAAAATGTACATGCTACCTTTAAGATAAATCCGTAGTACAGTGGTTCCTACTTTTCCATGTTTTTGTTTTTTGTACTTTCAATCCTCACAGTCAGTTTTAGATCTGAAAACACAATGAAGTGCAAAAAGGTATTTTGAAAGAAAGACAGAAAGAAAGGGGGGAGGCATTCATGTAAGTTTTATTATAGTTATTATTTGTAATTATACTATAATATTGTAGTGCATCATTTTATTTTCTTACATTGTCTAGTTTATCATTTGGCTCCTGGTTGGTGGTGGTGTTTGGGGAATTTATGAAACCGTTAGGAGGTGGAGCCTGGCTGGAGGAAGTACGTCACTGTGTCACTGTGGGTGGGCCTCGCCCCACTTCCAGTTCACACTCTTTGCTCTCTGTGCATGGCTGGAGATACAGTCTCTTAGTTTCCTGCTCTGAGGGCCTGCTGCCACACCTTCCCCACCACCAGAGATGCCCCCTCTGCAACTGTAAGCCAAAAGAAAACCCTGTCTTCCATGAGTTCCTCTGTGCATGGTATTTAATTATTGCAGAGAAGAGGCGCTAATATACTATATAAAGGAAAAGAAGCCCCTATAGTCATATCTCCCACAGATCAGAGGGATCTGCTATAGTAATGATAATAAAAGCTGTTGCTCTGTTCAGCTATGGTCCATGATAGTCTGTATAGATTATGATATTTGCAGTGTGAGGCTGAATGGATTTTATCATGAAAATGGGAGCACTGAGTATTGTGGGCTTCTTAGGCACATAAATAATATATATGCCAAGGTTCCAAGTTCATGCCTTTTCTACATGTGTATCAGTTCCTTTGACTGTTTCTGTGCCAAATGCTTAACAATGGCAATGTGGGGAACTAAGAATTTACCATAGTTTGAGGGTCAGTCTGCTACGATGCGGAGGTCAGCAGCAGAAGTGTGGAGTAGTTGGTCACATTGTGCCCACAATCAGGAAGCAGAAAGTGACAGCTCTGATATCCATCTCACTTTATCCTTTTTATTCATTCCACCGAAGGCGCAGCCCACTGTTGGGGTGGTCTTTCTACCTCATTTAACTAAATCTAGAACCTCTCCTCTAGACATGCCCAGTGGTTGATCTCCTAGGTGGCTGTAGATGCTGTCAAGCTGACTGTATTAACTATCACAGGATGCACATCAATTTTTTGACCATTCAGTCCTATAGCTATATCCAAAGGAGAAATGAAGATACATCAGCTGTGTGTATTAGAGAACCTATCTCAATTTATTTTATTTTTCAGAATAAAATTGTGATTGTGGAGATTTCTACAATTTTTTTGACCAACGTGTACTTCATTGGAACTATGCTAACTGACCTGAACTAAGCTCCATTCTCAAGATGACAGAGCAGGATGCTTAGAAAGCACCCTTCTTTTTGTCTGTCGGCTGCTGGTGGCAGAAGGCGTCTGCAGTGGGTCTGATAGTGATGTGCAGGCCCCATCTTTGGCTTGATCTCAGAAAATAAGGAGCTCAGTCAAGAGGTCTGAGTGATGGGTACACAGAGCAGAACCCTCGAGTCAGGGGTCTTCTAAATGCTTGTTTCTAAAGCAGGTAAGTGAAGGTGACAGTGGCATTCAGTACTCCCTCCTCACAGGGTCTTTCTGAACTGCCTATGCTGTCCTCACTTTCTATGCCAGAACACTATGAGTTTCTGTTCACACTTTATATTTTATAACCTTTGAAAAACATCTGAAATATTAATTAATTTCATAAATTCATTGTGCACCAGGAATGGTCCCATGGTAACAGGTATACATTACTGAACAAAAGTAGTGCATTCATGAATTTCATATACCTATGAAAGGTTTATTTTTTTGTGGAGGCCTAACTTGTCTTCATCTTAGTGCTGGGAATTGCATGAGTTCAATAATTTTTTGCCAAGCTACTAGAATGACTGTAATTGTGAAACTCAGCATGAGGTTGTCTTTTAAAAATAGGGATAGCTCAGCCGCTAAAGGCTAGGCTCACATCAAAAAATAAGCTATAGACTAGTAAAGTCAGGGATCATAGGAGGAGAACCTACAACCACAACTTTATTAAGCCAGCATGATGCCTAGTTATGCTCTAAATATGTCTCTTCATACTCAAATCATCAAGGAATGTTCTCTTTGTCACAGACAGAGACCATACAGAAAACTACAACTAATCAAAATGCAGAGTTGTGGATACCAGTCCTAATGGATACATCCACAAAGCAAATCCTGCAGCTAAGGCTCAGGGAACATTGAAGAAGAGGGGGTGGGAAGAGGATCAGGGACTTTGTTGGGAGATTATGTCTTCTAGTAAGGTTAGAAGCTACACCCTAAAGTCTCACCAACATGAACTGTACAAGGACAGCAACCACAGACAGGTTGACATGGATTCTGCAAAGCCCAGCAGCCTAAACCCTATGCAAAGAACCATAGGGCACCAAGGAATGATTAGGGTGTGGAAAAGAGTCTACCTCTGGGAAGAGCACACCATTCAGTTGTCCAATACCAAATGTTCAGCCCTAAAACATATATAAGTGATATAATACAGACTGAGGAGATTATATCTAGGCACATATATGTATATACATGCATGCAACAACAATTAATGTAGAAGGAGGCCATGACTTTGAAATGGAACAAGGAGGGGTATATGGGATGGTTTGAAGGGAGGAAAAGAAGGGAGAGATGATGTAATTTTATTATAATCTCAAAGATAAAGAAATAAAGAAGCCATGGAGATAAATTGAGTATCACCTCAATTTCATCTCCATGAACCTACACCAAACCACATTGACTCACTCCAGCCATTGGAGTAGTTTTAATGGGAAAATTTGTGGATTTTTCTTCACTTCCCTTATTTTGATGTATAAGATGATATCAGATGTTGTATAGGTATTTAGGCATTTGGCATTAGATGGTTTAGAGTAAATGACAGCCTAGCACTTCTTGTTCCCCAAGATCAAGGACAAAGGTAGTATAGCAAAGAGGTCCCCAATGCTCGCATTCTGAATATCACCTGCTTCTTCTGTGGCAAGACACTTAACTCCTCTGAGCCAAAGTTCAGCATCAGAAAATGCATATAATCCTGACTTCATAATCTGTGGCACAAGTGACTAGAAGGTAAAAGAAAAGCACACGGGTACTTGAAAACTGTGAGGCTTATGTGAGTGGCCCAAGAAGCACCAAAACCATTTAGTGTGGCTATACTGTGAGTGGAGCAGAGACAGTTCCAATGGAGATCTGCATTGCTGAGATGCCTTTCAAACCGAAAGGCAGAGTGCTGTTGAGTATACAGCATAAATATAAACATACTCACAGATCTGGCTTTGGAGTGAGATACAACAGACTGCTGATCATATGGGGATTTAAAGGAAAGGTGGCCTTAAACAAGAATATCTTTCCTTCTGGTGTATCTTGCCACCAGATATTCTACAAGTAGAAAACTTTAACGCCACAATCCAGTAACAATCAGGTAATTATAATAAACACACACTCTGACTGAAACATAATTAGATAAATTACTTTATAATAAAATGAACATAAAGTAGAGTGAACATCTATGTTTTTTCATGTTTGAGCACATGCTCAGGAAAGTTTCAAAAGATCTCAGTCACTCATCTCCACATAATTTTTGACATACTGCCCAAACAGAAAGTGGAGGCAAGAGATTCATTTCAGTAGCTAGATGGTTGAAGATGTGATCCAACCAGACAGTGCTACACCACAGGGAGGTAAGCTTATTTGTTCTAGACAATTAGGAAAATCTGATTGATCGTTAGTTGACCCCTAGTTTCTTAAGTAGACCTCAGGAGCTACACATGGCAGAGAACATGAAGTTGTTCCAGGAAAGTTACAGCTAACAAACACCAACAACCACAGTAAACCATCACCTCCACCATCTCGAAGGGAATGTTTGAGCTCAAGAATTTTCACGGTACTTAAAATTCCCCATCTATCACATACTATTAGAAGGCCTTCCCTGATAACGTGATTGACGACTTCCTTGTGTGCCATCCTAGAGCCTTCATCCAGTGGCTGAAAGAAGCAGAGGCAAACACCCACAACTAAACACTGGACGGAACTCCTGGAGCCTAGTTGCAGAGAGGGAGGAGTGATGAGCGAAGGGGTTAAGACTTAGTAAAACCCAGAGAAACAGCTGACCTGAACAAGGTGGAGCTCATCGACTCCATACTAACAGCTGAGAAACCAGCATGGAACTGATCCAGACACCCTGAACGTAGGTGTCAGTGACGAGGCCTTGGCATTCTTTGGGGCCTCGGGCAGTAGATCAGCATTTATCCCTGTCATCCAGATGGACTTTGGGAGCCCATTCCACGTGGAGGGATGCTGTCTCTGCCTGGACACATGGGGGAGGGCCTAGGCCCTGCCCCAGATGATATGACAGACTTTTGAGATCCCACATGAAGGGCCTCACCTTCCTTGGAGAGTGGAGTGGGGATTGGGGGAGGGCTTAGAGAAGAGTTGGAGGGGAGGTGGGAGAGGAGGGGAGGGAGAGGGAACTGGGATTGACATGTGAAGCAAGCTTGTTTCTAATTTAAATTTAAAAAATGCTGGTGAATAAAAGAAAGAAGGAAAGAAAGAAAGTAATGATTACTATACAGCAAAGTAAAACAAAATAGAGAAAATCATCCAATTAAAATTCTTCATGATGAGCAGGGCGGTGGTGGTGCATGCCTTTAATCCCAGCACTCGGGAGGCAGAGGCAGGCAGATCTCTGTGAGTTCAAGGCTGGGCTGGACCGACAGCCTCCAAAACAATACAGAGAAATCCTGTCTCGTAAAAACCAAAAAAAAATTCTTCATGATGAAATACAGTCATTTCACTCACAAGACAAAAACAATCAGTAATTATATATATGTATATACTTGACATATATTATATATTCTATATATGTAATATATTGTCTCTTATATATGTATATACATATACATGTATATATGTATATATATACTCTCATATATATATACATGAGAGTTAATGGAGTAGCATTTGAAGAAGTAAAGCAGTGTGAACATTAGTATAAAAATACATGATGATAGTCAAGTAAAATCTCAAAGGTTTGATGCTAACAAGTGAAAGAATCAGAAATTTTGTAAATAAGCTGACTGCAACTATTCAACTGTCAAAACAGACAGAAAAGTGAATAGAGTCTCAGAAATCGGTAGTGTACAATCAGATGTGTTAATATACAAAGTAGAATTCAAGAAAGAAAATGAAAGGAATTAATAAAGAAATAATTCAACAAAATGTCCTGTTTTGACAAAAAAGAATATAAACTTCCAAAAACTAGTGAATTCTACCTAGAATAAGCTCAGAAAGATGCACGGTTAGATATATGATGATGAAACACTCAAAAACAAAAGCAAAATTCTTGAAACTAGCAAGACAAAAATGATTTAGCAAATAGATGCATAGAAGAGAAATCAGTAAGGTTAGGAACTGTATTCTCATCAGAACCCATAGGAGGCAAAGGTATTGGAATGAAATTTTCAAAGTAGTAGAACAGCAAAGAATTCCAATCAAAAGATCAAAAATTATTCATCCTATGAAGCCATTCTTCAAAAAGAAAATACCATTTAAGACGTTTCCAGGCTGAGAGTTAGCTCAGCAGTTAAGAGTACTGACTGCTCTTCCAGGTCTTGGGGTCAGTTCCCAGCACCCACATGGCAGCTAACAACTGTCTGTAACTGCAGTTCCAGGGGTCCTGACACCCTTACACAGACATGCATGCAGGCAAAGCAGGAATGCACATAAAATAAATATAAGTAAGTTTCTTAAAAAAACATTTATACACAAATAAAAACTAACGATCATTAGCAAAACAGTTTTGCGAGGAAAAAATGATGGGATTCCAATATGAGAAGAAAACATCTACATTCTTTTGCATTTTATTCTTAATCTTGTCTATTATTTTAAGCTGAGACTGTAAAGTGAATGTGACAAACATTAAGGGAAAAATGACTTAAAATTTTAAATAATACAAAGTATGTTTCCTAACTGTTTTATAATGAAGGGAGTTAGATCCTTGGTGTACAGGTGAACAGAGAAAAGATGTTAAAGGTAGGTTAATATACTTTTTGTTAAAATAGTTAAGGCAGTCCACTTCCTGTTTCTTCTCCTTTTCTAGAATACAGACTTGGTGGGCTCCCACTAACTCAACTGCTATTGGAAATTATTCAGTGGTTGTGACTTTCAAACATCTGGGAAAGGAGGGGGAGAAGTTTCTGTAATGGGAACCAGTTAGCTTCACTTTGTTGGTCTGACTTGTCCAATCACCTTTAATGTCCAAACCATCCAATTCTGATAAAGAAAGGGGATTCTCTTCAACCCTAAATATAAATTTTTGTTATGTCAGACTAATTCAGATTTCATTTTTCAATCACTTCCCCACTTAAAGTTTGTCTCTTTGTGTGCTTTGATGTTGTGTGTGTGTGTGTGTGTGTGTGTGTGTGTGTGTGTGTGTGTGTGTGTGTGTTTCTGCTTTCATAGAACTGGGCAGAGTGCTGAAATATGGTTTTGCCTGCCTTTTTATTCTTTAACTTAGTGGAGAGAAAGAATCAGTTCCTATAGCCCTAGAGTACCTCATTGTAATGGATGTAAGAATGAAACTGGAAATCCATAGCAAAGGGAAATTTGAGAAAGTCACAGATACATAGAACTCTTTAAGCACACTCCAAAATAAGGCATGGACGAAATGGAAAGGATAACTAAAGACCTATGAAACACCATAAGGAGCCCTATTACTGTAGAAGATTTCTGAAATACATGCACATACATATAAAAAAAGGTATACATAGATTTACCCTGTAGCAAGGGGCCAAATGCTCTTAACTTACACATTTATGAAACCCTATGGGCTACAATAATGACTAGTTTGTCAAGTTATGTTTATTTGTGCATTATCAGCATGGATGTCATGGAAATAACGACACACTTTCTGTTTGGATCTAAAGCCTGCTCTACAAGATGAAACTTTGGCTTGGTTCCATTAACTTAGCCAAAAATACATGACTAGCTAGATTATAGGCCCTTGACGAAAACCTGGAACTATTATGCTGCCAAGTAGACATAGTAATAAAATATCCCCCAAGTTCTTATCTTTATATTCATGGTGAATAATACAGAGACTCATAACTAATAAGTATCTGAGAATAAGAGACTTTGGAGGCCTCGACTTTAAATGGGATGTCTGTATCATAACCCTTTCTCCCAAGGTTCAAGGATCATCAAAAAAGAGGAAGCACATAGACAGTCATAACTAGAAGGAGAAGATTGTTGTAGTGAAACAGTGTTGGAACACATGAACTCATGGCAGACTACTTGCTTTGTCAATACCCAAACAAGATCGATCCAGCTGGAATCCCAGCATGGATGGAAGAGTGATTCATAAATGACCACCCTTACCTTTGAGCTACTGGAAACTTTTGGATGCTAGGAGAGGAAGATTCAGTGATGGTGGACCCACACTCCTTAGATGGTCCCAAACCCATGCACATATAGGTAGCATTAAATGAACTTGGTGGCATTAAAAATAAAATGAGCATGTGAGGTGTAGAAGGAAAGGTATGGGGGATGTACTGGGCAAGAACTGGAGGGGAGAATGTAGAGTGCATTTGATCTAAACCACATTATATGAGTATGTGAATATGAATTAAATATTTTAAGACATTGAATATACTTATTATGAGTTAAAATTAAAGTATACTATAATATATGTGATATAACCAAAAGCAGTGCGTAAAGGTTATAGCTACAATGCCAATACTAAGTGATCTGATATTGAAAAGGTGGTGGGGCTCTAATTAGGAAGGAAAGGGAGATAAATACACTCGATAACTCTAAGGATGCAGTAACCACACACATATCTTGGATGCCTAGTGCAGGAAAACTAGCCACTACCTAGAGCTGGCAAATCATGGATCTTGAAGGAGAACCTCTAACCACTTTACTAAACCAGCATAATCCTTAACTACACCTAAATAATTGTCCTTAGACCCACAGATAAATGTAGCTTTTACCTTCATCAAGGAAACTTCTCTTTGCAACAGAGATCATTATAGAAAACCATAACCTCCCAAAATGCAGGGTTATTAATCCCAGTGCTAGTGGATACATGTACAATACAATTCCTGCACCTAAGACTCAGGGAACACTGGTTCAGATGGGTTTGAAATATTGTAAGAGCTGTAGGAGCAGAGGTTTGCTCTAATACTGTGTCAGAGGTACACTCATAAAGTCTCACCGTTATGACTGCCTAACATAAGCTGAACAAGGATAGCAATAGATATGCAAATGTGGATAGAGGAACTCTTGGAGGGCCCCACTCTACAAAGAGCAACAGGAACTAAGGAATTCTGAGAGCAGGGCAAATAGTCTTCTCCAGGAACGAGCACACCAATTGGTTATCCACTGCCAAATGGTCAGACCTGAAAATATTCATACAAATAATATGGCATAAACCAAGCAGATTATACCTAGGAATATATATGTGTGTCCATATGTGCATGTAGCAACAATTAATGAAAACTGGCCATTAATTTGAAAGGGAGTACTTGGGAAGGTTTAGCAAGAGGAAAGGGGAAAGGAGAAATAGTGTAATTATATTATAATCTAAAAAATAAAAGAAAAATTACAAACGGAAAGCAAGGAAGGCAGGTTACTGCTAACACACTTGCCTAACATGTACAAGTCCTTGGTTCAATTTCCAGCATCACAAAACCAAAGCCAAAGCAGTTTAACTAGGTGTAGTGGTGCATGTATAAAATAACAGTGTAGGTAGAGTCCTCAGATGGAGCCACATATAGTTTAATGAGAATTCCAGAATAGGATTTCTTAAATAATGAAACCTTGTCAGAAGGAAACAAATGAATTTCAAGCTAGTTCTTTAAAATTGATCTTAAGTCAGTGAAAGAAGAAGACCAAATTAAATGCACATCAGAGACACACTAAATATATGAGAGAGAATGAAAAGAAGCTTTCTTTTTTAACAATAAAGAAAACTTACTTTACACAGGTTCAACTAGTGAAAAGGAAATTTTCAATTAATTAGATGAAAC